CATTTCTTGGCCCAAATCAAATAATTGAGTTTGAGCCTATGTAGTAAATTAATTATGGGGTCTTGATAATTGCTCGTGTGACTCCCGTCTAAGGCTCACGTTCACAAAGTACTCCAATGTACTGTAAATAAGTATGAAATGATCAAAGCAAATGAATCCATCCAAATAATAAATAAGTCGAAAAATATAAACGTGCAAATAAATTAAATATATAACAATACACTATTAAATATAGAAAACGTGTAAATTTTTCGACCTATCATCAGTATAAATCTGGAAGTCAACAAAGGTCAACCAGTGGCTCAGTTGGAATATTCACGGATAATAGGAAGTCTGATGTACTTGACGAATTGTACACGACCAAACTTGGCCTATCCGGTGAATAAGTTGAGCAGATTTACGAGCAATCCCAGTCATGAGCACTGGAATGCTTTGAGAAGGGTACTTAAGTACTTGAGGTACACCCTTGAATACGGGCTAAAATACTCGAGATATCCAGCAGTACTTGAAGGGTACTGTGATGCAAGCTGGATACCAGATTCGAGAGATTCTCGCTTCACTAGCGGATATGTTTTCTGCATTGGAGGAGGTGCAGTTTCGTGGAAATCCACAAAACAAACGTGTATAGCTCGGTCAATGATGGAATCGGAGTTCATCGCTTTAGATAAAGCTGGTGAAGAAGCCGAGTGGCTTAGAAATTTTTTATCCGATATTCCATGTTGGGATAAGACTTTGCCGCCTGTGATGATTCACTGTGATAGCCAAGCTGCTATTGGTAGGGCGCAAATCAACTTGTATAACGATAAGTCTAGACATATTCGTCGTAGACATAATACCGTACGTCAGTTGATTACAAATGGTATTATTTCCATTGACTATGTGAAGTCTAAGGAAAATTTGGTTGATCCTTTGACGAAAGGATTGAATAGAGATCAATTGACAGTTTTGCTAGAGGGAATGGGCTTAAAAATCCACAATGTAAAGAATGATCATAGTGGTAACCCTACCATGCTGAGTGGAGATCCCACAAACTTGGTTCAAAAGGAAAACTAAGCTATGAAAATTTAGTCGAGCACTTGGAACATATGAATGTCCAAAGCTATTCCCTAGAGCACACCAAGTGCAAGAGTACCTGTTGATTGTGGTAAGGGTAAGTCATTTGGACTTTTAATGAATCCCTAACCTTGTAAACGTGGAGTAAGACAGGATACTCTTGATAGGGAGGTCACTTATATAAGTGTGAAGTGTGGGCCGCTTCAAATGTAAACACTTATGAATCCATTGTGTTGTCAATGGCCAAAACGGACACAACGATAGAACAGAATAGATTTAAAACTCTATTGTGTGAATGTCATTGTCTTGGTGTACACTATGGAGGAATAGTTCAAGGCATTATGTCCACTACACCGCCAGTGCATCCGATGATGTTTACTAAGAAAGGTTCAAAGCCAAAAGCTACCTTCTCTGATGCAATAGAGTTTTGTGAAGATTGAGCACATAGTATATTTAATTTACACTCATGTAAGAGATTGTTAGAAAACAATATGAGTGTAAAATGGGCCCATCATTTAATTATATTATATCTATAATTAAGTGTATAATGCACTAATTATTGAGTATGTTAATTGTCATCATGTGAAGGAATCCACAGCTTGGCAATCAGATCTTGTAAATGATATTCAATTGGCCACTGATTATGTTAGTTGTAATCATGTGGAGGAATCCACAACTTGGCAATCAGATGCTTGTAAATGATATTCAATTGGCCAAATTGCTCTATCCCTTGCAAATTTATACTTATAAAAGGCCTTTGTCAGATTGGAGAAAAAGAGTACCGAAAATAAGAACCAAACATAAGAGAAAAAGATTGGAAAGAAAGAGAAAGAGAAAGGAAAGAAATATGGATTTATGTCCAAATATCGGATATAAAAAATATCAAAAGAGAAAAAACAAGTGATATTTTTATTTGTTTCAAGATATTCCTTTTATTACTAAGTGCTCAATTCTCGATTCCGTTCACGTTCGTCGGAGCTCGTAAATCTGGTGTGCTACAGATTTAGAGACGTTTGCCGTTGTATCTTTGGGGAAGTTACGCCTGAACCGTTAGCTGTCACACGGGGCGTATTCTTCTTGCGGAAAGAGTTTTACTGGCTTCGGCTAAAATCTTTCCGTTTTTCAGTTGTAATTTATTTTTCAGTTCAATTGTAATTTTCTATTTTTAGATTATTTGTAAGAACTGAAATTACATATCAGTTCGTAGGATTCCCGTGTATTTTACACCAAATTTTCTAACATTGTACTTTCTGATTTTAACTTGGCGGGCCGGCTCGGATTTGGACGGGATTGGAAGACCGGTCTCGACTATCCTTTTCTTTTATTTTTTTAAAATTTCTTAATTTCCTACTTGGCTTGGCCCGATCCTACTGTTGGGCCACTTGCGGCTGCTAGTTTGCTGCAACGATAAAAAAATAATAACGTTGGCAGTAGAATAAGAATTCACGATGAATGAAGCTCAAGGGGACCTAATAGAGCTGAAGGAAATTAAGTACGCAAGAATAGAGTATGATATAAAAAGATGAAGCCAAGAGTTTTCATAAGCCAAAGAAAGTATTGTAAAAATCTGACAGCTGGGAGATGCAAGATTTAAGAAACTCGCAAGAATTTGGTACTGACACATCCACATATTGCAGTGTACGTGTCAAAAATCGTGATCAGAGCATGTACAAAGTTTCTTTTTGGTGCCTCACGCTCTCCTGGGATTATTTGATACGTGGAGTAAGGAAAGAAGGGTAGATACAAAGTCTTGGGCACAAAGGTCTGTTTCAACAAAAGCTCGTCTTGGGGGCTCGATGATATAATACTCAAAAGCAGCGGTAAACCGGCGTGAGCAAGCAGCTCGATTAGGCCGAGTTGGGAGAGATCCCGTGTATATAGATGAGATATGCTTGGTCAAGTAGCTCGCTTATGAGCTTAAGGTAGCGAGCTACCAAAAAAGACACCACTTGGAGGTTTTGACCTCTAGGAGCCCGACAAAGTAACCGACCTCGAGGTATCGAACTCGGGTGGTCTAAGGGCAGGTGAGGTTGAAGGATGAGTTCGGGTAAGACTTTGAGACAAGGTCATGTGCGTCTCGGGGAGGCCATGGCATACCGAACAAGAGGTCGGAGTAATGACCCAAGGAACCAAAGCTAAAACAATAAAAGCGAGAAGAATCCTAGTAAGAAGAAAAAAATCACTCACTCAGAGACTCTTGTCAAGATAGTGACGTGGTAAGTTAGGGAAGTAGGATCTGGTTCGATCACTTTTCTAACAAAAAAAACTCTATTCGGCTCCAAGGTATCAGGCCCATATAAGGGCGACATGTTTGCTTTCATCAATAACTACATTCTACGCCTTTATTCACATACTTTTACTTTTACAGTTTCAGCGCATTCTGACTTGAGCGTCAGATAGTTTTCCATCTGGACCCACTCTCGACGTATTGCAGGTCATCAGAGCTCAAGGACGAGGACTGTTCGGGGCATAGACGTTTAAAACCGTTCGTGTCTTAAAGTGACTCAACATTATGTATATTCATTTAAAACATATGTCTGGTAGACCTAGGCTTCGTTTACTAACCTTGATAGGATATGATAAGGTTGGTTAACCAACCTTATCATATGTTTACTAGGTTGGTTAGGGATTAGGATTTTTCTGATGTGTCAATTATGTGTCATGTGGGTCCCCCGTCAGTAGAATGATGTGGTAGGTTAAATTTGTCCGGCCATTTTGCCCTGACAAAATAATCTCCATATGTGAGTTCTCATTTTGCTCAAATTTAAGCCTGTAAAATATCTTTTATGCCCCTACATGGCATCTAAATTACAGATATAAACATATATAAACATTTTTCCTGTCTGAAATTTCCGAAGAGCTGCTCGACATTGTCGTCTGCCATAGCTCCGCCTCTGCCCTTAAACGACGAGCAACTTCTTCTTCTTCCTCGTATTTTTTTTTCTTCTTCTTTCACCTTAAACATTCCGAAACACAACCAATCACACTTTCCCAGAAGCATATGAGTGTACAAGGGGGGAAAATTCGCCGATTTAGGCCATATGAGTATAAAACTTGTCAGTAAAAATTCTCAAAAAAAGGGAATAATCCTTTGAGGGGAAAAATCTCACTTTCAAGATTGCAAAACCTAAATCAATTACGAATTATCAAAGTCCAATTACAAGCTATCACAAAATCTTAATATATAGAAAAAGCAAATTAACATGAAATTCGTTCGTGCTCGGCAATTGAGGGTCGAGTGTTGTAAGATCCAATCTCTTCGTTGTCCTCGTCAAAACGACTGATCACCGGCGAGAAATCTTCTTCGGCCTCGCTCGGTTCTTGTCAATTTAGGGCTGCAAATTTTGTACAGAAGAAGAGACGAATACGACAGAGATATTTTAGAGGGTATAGTTGTCATTTAGCTATTTATCAACATCAGTTTATCCAACTTAGTAAACACATGACAATTTTCACCTTAAAAGACTTAAAAGTTATCTTGTTTTGTAAACTCGGGATATATGCTGACGTGTAAAGTTGTCGGGATAAAATTGTCTAATCCCATCCTCTTTAGTAAACGGAGCCCTAATGATTAAGTAATCATATTCTTTCAATAAATAAATTCATTATCATACTCTAAAAACACCAAAACAACAATATGACCTTTTTTTTTTTCAAAAATATGTATATGTATTTTTATTAAAATAATATGTCATGTGAACTCGCATAATAGTCTCACACACAAATTTGTATTATTTAAAGAGTATGATAGAATTTATGTAAGTGGATAAATATTATTTTTTAATTAATAAATATTTATTTTTGAACATGCAACTGCACCACAGTCCACAGGCTGGGAACAGATTTTAGCGCAGGTATTTTAATTATTTTTTCGAAATTTGTCCACCACAAATCCTAATGAAACTTTCACGGTTATGAGTTACCACACAACTCAACCTGTCTGCCGCTCACTCGGACATGGCGTCGACGATCAACCTAACTCCGATCACCGATCTTCCCCATCTCTCAAAATCTCTAACTAAAGCCGTCCCTTCATTCCTCCCTTTGCCCCTGAGCCGATCTCTTACCACCTGTTGTTGTTCCTTCAAAAGAAAAGTACCAACGCCATTATCGTCATCGCGTCAAAATGTTGTGGGCGAGCAAGCTGCAGTAGATTCTTTCATCTCTGATTCTACCTCATCGAAGCTCGTTCTTGTTGTTGGTGGCACCGGCGGCGTCGGTAATTTTTCCTCTGCGTGTTCTTCGCTTTCCACACACACTGACTTTTGTGACAATTTAATCTCTCTCTCTCTCTCTCTCTCTCTCTCTCTCATTCTCTCTATATATCTGTGTATGTGTGTTTCTGCTCTTGGATTTTTGTTTGTTTGTGTTCTTTGTCGATGTGGGAGTCTAAATTGAATTAATAGAAAGTTCAAGAACTCCGGTTGTTTTTCTTTCAGATTATGATTAAGTTTAATCAAAACCAGTAGCCAAGCTGACATTTGCCAACACTTATTGGTTTGTTACTTATAATCATTTTTGGGAATCTTTTAATGGCTTATTTGAAGTCTTCAAATTGGCAATGCATGTGTTCTGTATTCCCATTCATCCATGGAAGTGAAACAACCTATGAGGATTCATTCTTTGTTGGAATATTGTTGTAATTGGGCTTTTTTTTTTTAAACACAATGCCAACTGAACCTACCACGAACTAACACAAATGTCGAAAGTATTAGGACACTGTTAACACACCCGTGCATTATTCAACACCGGAGCCTAAATTTAGCACGAAAACGACCTAAATAAAATGCGAAGAGTCTAAGCTTAAAAACATGATTCTAAAGCTGCAAACTAGATCCAACTGATAGTTCACCTTCTTCGCTTCTTCCCACTCTTCGCCTCAGTTTGTCGTGACTTTACAGAATCCGGGGGTTTCCCTTTTGCAGGTCCTGATGATGTTGCCAAGTCAGCAAGTTTTTCCTTCTTCTGACCAGCTTATTTTGCCTTTGATGGACCAACTTTTGTCATTATGGCACCATCGTCATCATTAAGATTTTTCCCACTTTGTGGGGTTTTACCTTTAGACTTTGCAGTTTTGTGACTGTCCTGTTTAGGGTGGCTTGGGGTCTTTGGTGAGTCGCCTTTGATTTTACTTCCAGGTACTTTAACAGATTCACCTTTGGTTTTACCACTACATGCTTTACCAGATTTGCCTTTCGTTTGACTACCAGATGCCTTGCCTTGATCCTTTGGTTTGCCCCAAGATTTTGTTGCACTGCCTTTCTGTCTACTTTTTGGTGTATTGTTCACTTTTCGACGTTTGCTTTTCGATGCTTCTGAATCTGTATTCCCTTTCTTCCTCTTTTGCCTGGTTAAAGGAAACCAAACAATTAGCAACACCACTTCCGATGAAGTATCATGACTTGAATGTTCAGCATCATCATTCCCATCTGAAACCGAGTTATCTTCAATAAGCTCCCACCTTTCTCGTTTGAGATTTAGTACTTCTTCCTCACCATCATTATACAAGACCTTGTGCTTTTTCTTAACAGAATCAAAATATTCAACTACGCCCTCATAAAACGTCCGATCTTTTGGCCACCATACTCTAACTTTCGAAACCAACCAAACTCTTGTTGAGCTCAATATCACCAGATGCCTTCTCTGTGCCGGGAGTTCGCTTTCTCTTGAAAACAGTTCTCGGAGTTTCTTCTTCTATGCCTTTCTCTTCCGATGCCTTTAAAGGCGACCTAGGTGAAGACACTTTGTCTTTTGCATGAACTACTTCTCCAAAAGATTTCAGTGGAACTTTTCCTGAGGTAGGCTTCACACTTCCTTTCTTTTTCTCATCTTCCTTAGTCATTGAGGATTCTTGCCTCTGAATCTGTTGCACTCCCTTCATTCTTGGATGCACTCCCTTCACTCTTGGATGCACACTCTCCAGTCAATTCTTTATCCTTCACAGTTTTCTTGCCGGATTTATTTTTGCCACCCCACCGCTGCTTCTTTGATTTCAAACGCCTTCCTCCAGCAGGCGCCTTCTTATAAACTATATCAACAGATACTATCACTTCTTCAACCAAGTCCTCCTTCCCTCTGGCCAGACTATCTTTTCAGATCGGCTCTCACCAGAGAGGCTTACACTTTGGGCTGGAGATGCAACACTTATGGCCTCATTTTCAGGTGCATGTGATGGTGAAAGCTGATGATTAGTAGCATCTTCTACTTGATTCCAAGATTTGGCAGCTTCAACAAGTTCGGCATCAGTAGCAGAAATAGGGACATCTGCACTGTGAATTTCATGATTGGATGCTGCCTCCTGAGTTTCTGAATGCCCTGCATTAGCTTCCAGCTTCTCTAAATTTTGAGCACTGCAGTCATCAGACTCAGTTTTGGACGCCAATTTGGCATCAACCTGATGATTCGAATCAGCCTCTTTTGAAATATTGGAATCTGCCATAGTATCTTCAGTACAATCTCATTGATACCATTACTAACTACTGACTTAGACGATCCAATCAAAGTGGGATCTTTCTCTTGAGAATCGGTCCCTTCCCCACCTTCCCTAACTACCTGAGCCACTTGATCCTGAACTGGAGAGGCACTACCGGACCTCCTCTCGATAACCTGTGGATCATTTGATGCGCTCTCGTTATTATTTCCAGTTGTATCAGTATCCTCTCGGCACAAGGAAGCTACAACCTCACCATAATCCTCCGCAGGAGAACCTAAAGACTTTACTGCTTGTGCTAAATAAGATCTAAGTTTTTCAGATGAATTTTCAATAACTCTGTCGGCCAGTTTCTTCGCAATTTGGCAGAACATTCTCATTGTTCTTTTTCAAGGTAGCCAAAATTGGATTGAGTAGATCTGGAGAGATGTCTTCACTTTCTTCCAAAACAAGAATCATTATCGCCTCCATAGACGCAGATATGATTTCTGGATGATAATCTCTAATGGCTTTGAGGATGGGAGATTCGAATCCAACACAATTCACACGACTCCGGTTTTAGATGCTATTTTTTTTAAGAAAATGTTGTTTATACGAGAATGCCTTCATATGATGTATTTAGTTGCAAAATCTGGAAATTAATAGGTAACATCAGGTGTTTCTGACTTGGGGCAGGGGATGAAAGAATGTTATTCTAAACTGGTGCTACATGATACATTGAGAAAAATTAAGATTTGTTACCCATATGCTATTTTACCTAAATTAATGAAGGTTTTGATTTTAATTCACTGTTCTCTTCGCTGTGTTTCCCTATCCATTTTTTTTTTTTTGGTTCTTATATAGAGCTCTACATCGTATTTGTACAGTAGACTGAAGTGGTTCATTTAATGGATTATTAGCATCTGCTTGTAAATTACGCTTTTGTTTGGCTGGCATTATATTTTCCTACTAAAATGGCGATTTTCAACTTGCATGAGCTGCAAACTTCCATTTGTTTTGCATTGGATCTCTTTTCCCTCCTAGGAAACAAAAAAGGCATGTGTGAATACAGTCATGCGATCGAGTTTTTACGAGCAGAAACTTTCTGTGGCATCCGCTAACTACTGTATCTGCTATTTAGGGCAATTAGTCGTGGCATCACTTCTTGACCGTAATATCAAATCACGGCTTTTCCTCAGAAATCCCGAGAAGGCCGCCTCTCTATTTGGTGAACAAGATGATAGTAAATTACAGGTCTTGTCGTATTTCACCTAACCCAATGAAGTTGTTCTGTTCATACTTCATGTATTGCTTGTTGTTCATTCATCAGCCAACATTGTAAAATACAAAAACTTTAATTTGTCTTCTTTTTGCATGGGTTCTAATTATGATAGCATATTTCTGATGCTGCTAGGTGTATGAAGGTGACACACGGAACCCAAAGGATTTGGTTCCTGCTATACTTGAGGTTTGCATTTCATCTGCTTTGGCTCTTGCTTTGTCGTGAAGACAGATTTCAGAATGTTCATGGAGATTGAATATTTGTGTTACAGGGTGTTACACATGTTATATGCTGCACAGGAACTACAGCCTTTCCTTCTAGAAGATGGGATGGTGATAACACGCCTGAAAGAGTAGGTTAGAAAGAAAATTCAAATACTATCATTATTCGAAATAATTCTGAAGAGAGCACTCAGAAAAGATAGAATTGCATTTTTGTTTTTATTTTTTTCTATTGGAAGATAAATTTGACCTATATGGATGAAAGATGTTGAGCCCAACAGTTAATTTTTATCTGCAGCATATTCACTGTTTAGAGTTGTGCTTCCACAAATTCATTTTTTTTGCATTCGGCTTTTGATGATAGTATTTCATTCAGTACTGGGACTGTGGGAGGTTTGGTTAAGTAGACTACTCCAGAATAGTCGCTGAAGTGCAGCACATATGATACCCAAAAATCAAACGAAAAATAAAATTCCTTAGAAATTGAAATCTTTTACCTCGAGAAAGTCATATTTCTGTGATAAATTAGACATGAGAAATTACTCGCCAACTGTTTTCCACTTTATTATGCTTCGAACCTCCATATAATGCAGATATGACTTTTCACTTATGTCCAACTTGATGTTCATATGTTTATCTTATTTTTACGCATTATGTGTTAATTTTCCGTTGTAGATTGGGAAGGCGTGAGAAACTTAGCATCTGCATTACCTTCTTCATTGAAAAGATTGGTTCTGGTTTCATCTATAGGAGTCACAAAGTTCAACGAACTTCCCTGGAGGTATTTCGTTCGTTTTGGTTATCAACAACAGCATAATTTGTTAAGTGCTTTTCATGTCAAGTTGATGTAGTCTTTATTTTGCCTACATACATAATTCATCTGACTTGACTTGGTCAGATTTGAAAACTGGTTCGGTAAAAATCTTGTCCTTTTATTTTTCCGACATTAGATTTTCCCCTTATGTGATGCTTGTTTTTTCTACGCTGTAGCATCATGAATGTATTCGGTGTTCTAAAATATAAGAAAATGGGGGAGGACTTTGTTCGGAATTCTGGTCTTCCATATACTATAATCAGGTTTGGAACGTCTAATTTCTGATCAAAACCTTTTTTTTTTTTTTTTTTTTATTTTTTTGGCATAGTTTTCAGATCTAATTTGTGTTTTCTTAGCCAGAGCTGGCAGGCTAACTGACGGGCCCTACACGTCTTATGATCTCAACACTCTACTCCAAGCCACTGCTGGGGAACGTCGAGCTGTTCTTATGGGTCAAGGTAGTAAAATGGATTCTAGAAGTATACTGCCTATTTTGTGATTTTTTTATCAAAATGTTTCGGTTTTATTACGTGACTCGTTTCACATTGTGACCAGAATGCTTTAGATTTAACTTCCCCCACTTCATTCACAGGGGATAAACTAGTTGGAGAGGTTAGTAGGCTTGTAGTCGCAGAAGCTTGCATACAGGCACTGGATATTGATTTTACCGAAGGCGAAATATATGAAATCAACTCGGTACAGGTAATTTGTTAAATGCATGTGTACAAACAACAAAGGATTAACACTTTTCGAATTTAGATAAAACGTGAACTATACACATTTATCTTTCTAAAGCTGTGAATTGCCTTTTTCTAGTGTTTGCAAACTAACACTCCTATTTTCTAACTTTTTTTTTCTTCCTCTTTTAAATGTTTAATCCTCATTAGTTTCTCTTGTTTGCTGTATGGATGTGAATTAAATTTAAAGAACTATCGAAAAGTGAATTAATTTTTTCTAATCATTTGTTTTTCAAACAAATATTGTGGGAATAATTGCAGGGCGAAGGGCCGGGAAGTGATCTCCAGAAGTGGCAAGACTTGTTCAGAGCTGCAGAGAAGCGAGTTTGATATATATCCCGATTTTTACAATATTCGAAGGTTAGCTTGAAAATAAAATTACATATTTTTATAGCAAAGGGGTGTGCATAACTCTTGGTAAAGGGTGAAGTTTCAAAGAAGATTTAAAAAAGGAACATGAAAGATTAGAAAAAAGATTGATCTGTGTCGACTAAGCTGGCTACTCAATAAAAAGTTATGGGATTTTATAGGTAAAAAAGAAAAAAACTGTATTCTGTTTTCCTTGTAGTTAAGTACCCGCGAAGAATTATCTTTGACATCGGGTGCTGCATTTATGCTTTTGACTATCGAGTTTGGCAAGTTGAAATATAAATCTTGAGCTGCACTGAATTCTAATCGTATGTTCCTCCTTACCTGTGCTGATGCTCGTTTTTCTACAACTTTGACATGCCAAACACGAATTTTATTACAGGGTGATCATAATCCTGGTCGAAAGACAGCATGCAGCCGAACTATAGTATGCATCGGTACTTAAACTTCATCTATCAATACACGAGACATAATGAAGATTTTTACGAAGAGATTGAAATGCAGAAATTCTCACTGCGTGCAGGTGGGGTTACGAGGATCTGAGTTACCCAGCTAGTAAAGTAGAAACTGTGGATTGTTGTCTGCATAATGTATCATCTAGTTGCTATTTAAGATGGGGCAATTAATCCAAATAAGCCTTCTCATTCAGATACGATGAGAACTGATTAAATAAATTACAATGTTTTGAAGTTCAATTGTTTATGCATGATTTATTTTATATGTATGTTAAATCTAAGACTGTGTTAAGATGAATATATAACTTGATATATCATATTTGAAAAGATGAAAAATATTTTATTAAAAAAAAGTAACCTATAATTTGAGTCTTCTGAGTGTATTATATGTTTAAAATTATATGTAACAAGTTAATAATAAATAAAGAAGTTAATCATAATTTAAGATGCCCAACTATTTTATAATTTAATGTTCTAACATACATTAAAAGTTCATATGAACTATTTCAAATTATAAAAAATAATTAGAAAAAAATGAAAAAAAAATTAACAAACAAAATCATGAAACACTACATTTATTATAATCGGAAAACTCTATATTTATTTATAAAGCAGGGATTGGTAAGTTCATGCCCTAGATCAAAAAGTGAAATAAATTCAAAACCTCAAGTGATTTTGGAATAAAAATACATGTTTATAGAGCCCAGAATAAAATATTAAAACAATATCATTATCATAAAAATAAACCAAATCAATATATCTCTTTTCTCTGTAACTACTAGGGAAAATTGGTCTTGTAAAGTGATAAGCTAATACGACTTGGATCGGTTGAACTGAATTACCACGAACAGACGTCGACTTTGTGCTCTGGTGACCTGCAATACGCAGGAGAGTTGTCCCGGAGAAATCTCAGATGCTCAAGTTAGTAATTTGCTTGTGAGAAAATGGAAAAATATAGGTTAAGTATATATGTATGCCCTCTATATAAAATAAAACCTGACCACCATTATATAATAAGGTATCTTGATGCCCAATAGTGTCCTGACCAGGAAAAAGATATGTCTGGACCCATTTTCCTAACTTATCTCGCCTCTCAAGATCTGATACTCTTTAGCATAGTATACTTTCATCCATGAATGATTTCATTCACCCTTACTGTATGACACTCAAGCCCTTAGGTTGTAACCCCGACCTCGTGACCCACATGCCAGCAACTCAAATAAAGTCGCAACCACTTCCCTCTTACGACCTTAGAGCTATCAGGTCAAACCTGGTCCTAACCACGACATGCATTGTCCCGACCTCCGGCCCATAATGTCTCATTGTCTCATTGAGCTGCTTGAGGAGTACGACCTCGAAACCATCCAATCAGGTTGACATGTACCTTGAGCTAACTGAATGAACTCCTCGACTGGGTCGAACACTTAAGTTAAGCTAGAGCTCCCTTGGACCGACCATGCCCGAGAGTCAACCACTCAAGTTGGTCCATCGAGCTATCTTTGATGTTATATCACTTAGCTTCCCCCACTCCCCCAAATTCATGAGCGAGTTGCCCGAACTTATGCAAGAATGATTCAGTGCACCTTGCCATGTCCCTTTGCATTCCGAGAAAATTAGAAAACTTTTCTCTCGAAAAAAATCGACAAGTTTTTTCTGGCCTCTCCATGTCCCTCTGGCATCTCTAGGCTTCCGCCGCCGGCACCATGGTCTTCGCCCCTGTAAGAGCCCCGCCTTCTCAACCAACTTTGTAGTCGGGCCTCTTGTCAATCTTCCTCCTCCTCACGGAGCTACTGGCCGAGGAGACCGAACAATTGTGGGGGCAGTGACGAGCCTCTGAGTCAGACCCTGGTTCGGGGGGCTGTGGATCTACTAGATCTAACCAGTCGATAACCAGTTTGGATTACCAATATCATACTCTTATTTGGGCCAATTTGGTGTTTGGAGTTTTAAATCCTGGATCGTGATTTGTGGTTTTTTTTCGTATTAGAATTTTCCTCTATCTTTGGTGTGGGTTGCCGATACCGTGGAGGTCTGTTAAAATATGGGCGGGTGAATTCTATTTAGTAGCTCGTTGGTCTGTGTGTTTGTATTTTTTTTCTTTCTGTTTATAAGTATTCTCCATTCTCTGGAGTTGTTAGGCTATCTCCAACCCTTATCTCTACTCTAGTGTAACATTTACTCTACTCTAGAGTGCAGTTAACAAACAGTCAAAATTCTTCTCCAATCGTTCGCACTACATTTTATTTAATAATAATGTAATTTAATGAAATATATTGTCTTACACATATTTAATATTTAAATTATCAATATACGATTAACAAAATATAATTAAATACAACATTATTTATATCAAGATTATTTTATTTGTTTAGAAGATTAATCAAGTATTTCCTACAACATCAAGAAAGTTATTGATTCTCAATTCGTAATCAAAGTTATAGAACTGTTACTACTTTATATATAGATTTCAAGATTATTCTTTTGGTAAGAGTATATACAAAATGTCGAGATTATTTTATTTAGCATAATATTTACAATTAATAAATTTAAAATAAAATTATAATTAAGTTATCTATTTTTAGTAATATATATTTATAAATAAAAATATTATATATATAACCACAAAAAAGCAATATAGAAATGAAACTTCACACAATATTTGTATATATATAAAAAAATCATTCACCGCAAATAAATAGTACTCTGTCACATCTAATGCAGTACTGTAGATATATTTCATCTGGCGCGCAGCTTTGGACAATCAATTTTTACACAACTCTAGCCTAATCAGCAAATGGAGCGCTTGGCTAGACATGCTCCTAGTTCCCATTTTTGAAATTTTTGTCTCCAAGGAGCATAGTAGTTGTGTTTGTGGTTTTTCATTTTAATTTGCACAAAGAGTTAAAGCTTGGTTGTGTGCATTTCTCCTATATTTAACTGTTATAATTCATTCAGTAATATTAGGTGCTCTCTAGTCTATATCTCCTTTGTTTAATGCATTTGTCCTTTCGAAAGTAGGGGTGAGTATTGGTCGGTACGGTTCGGAGATTGAGAAATCTCCAGACCCGTACCAAAATTCAGAGATCGCTAAATTCGATCTCTAGAACCGTACAAAAATTCGGGACGGTTTGGTTCGGAAATTTTTATTTGGTTCGGTATACGGGACTATCGGAACGGTTCGGTTCGGTATGGTTCTGTTCGAACTTTCGAAGATTTCTTATTATTTTTTAATTTTTTTAATGACTACCTAATTATATTTTAATTTTTATATGCTTTAAAAAAAGTAATATTCATTAATACTTCATCACATTGAAGTTTTTTTTTTTTTGAAACAACTTTAGAAGTAACTATAGATTTTAGTTATTTAATTTTTATATGCTTTAAAAAAATATTCATCAATACTTTCTCATATTAAAGATTGTGCTTTGAAATCAACTTTAGAAGTAACTCTGAACTTTAGTTAAGACTAAATTGCACAACTAATATTGAAAATGTAAAATTCAAACAAAATAATATTTTTTTCTTAAAAAATAATTTTAACCTTTCATACCATTTTAAATAATTTTTTTATAGCAGGAAAAATTCAATTATAGATCAAGTATTACTAAATATGAAATTTAAGTAAGCTTAATTATTATTACTATATTTTATTTGCATTTTAAAAATTCTCAAATCATATATATGATCAAAGTTGACATAAAATATATTAATAACACACATCTAATGTTACAATTCAGTTCTTAATTTCGGTTCTTCGATTCGGTTCGATATGAGACAGTTCAGTTCGGTTTTCGGTACAGATATTTGTGAAATCTCCAAAACCATACCAATTATTTTTTCGGTTCGGTTCGGTTCAGTTCGAGAAAAGTCAAATAATCAACAATTATTTTTCGGTTTAGAATGAGTTCAATTCGATTTTCGAAACGATTCGAAATTCTGGCATTCTCATCTATAGTCCTATTCAAAAGAAAAAAAAAAAGGGAGAAATTATTTTCCAAATCCGGATAAGGTTTGCTTCCCACTTGTCACTTGATACACAAGTGAAGTGAAAATATCGACCGCTTCTGTTCTGTTATTTATATAGTTATTACAACGTCATCATTCCTCCTCAAATATCTATACTCGAAACGTGTGCTCTTCTCCTTGACCCTTCCTTTCTCTCTCATAACCCTCTCTTTCTCTCTCTTCGCCTCTTCACTAATTACATACTTCAAATCAACTGTTAAATTAAGCTCAAACAGATGACGAACTCGGCCGACGAGGACCCCTTCGACCGCCTCCCGGACGACGTCGTACTCTCAATCTTCGACAGGCTGCAGGACGCCCGGTCCCTCTGCCTCTCCATGGCCGTCTGCACGCGCTTTCGCGCCATCGCTCCTCTGGTCTTTCACATCTTCCTCCCCGTCCCCAGCAGGAAACCCGCCCCGCCCAGACAACCCCACCGGAGGACGGCCTCCCTCCGGTGCCTCATCGCCGGAGCCCTCACCCGGCCCCTCCAATTTATCTCCCGGATGATCCGACCCGTGTCCAGGGACGCCGTGGAGAAGATCGGCGACCTCGAATATTACTCCCGCCGCCTCCCCGGCCTCATCCTCCCCCACTTCCACCAGATCCGGGTCCTCCGCCTCCGACTGCCCTGCAACGGCTGTCACAAACTCGAACCGGAACCATCCAAATCCGGCGGCCACGAGGCCCTACTGAAGTGGACGGCCGATTTCGGGCGGGAGATCCGCGGCTGCGTGGTCCTCGGCGCCCGGCGGTGGTCCCCGGTTGGCGGAGGGCTGTCCGGGCTGTCGGATACGGAGGGCCGATCGCTGGGGGACGATGAGCTGAAGCTGCGGATTGTGTGGACGATATCGTGCCTGATCGCGGCGTCGACGAGGCACTATTTGGTGCAGGAGACGGTGCGGGGGCTGGAGAGGGTGGAGCACGTGGAGATCACGGACGAGAGCGGGCAGGGGAGGCTGTGGATGGGCGGGGATGGGGTGTCCGAGCTGAAGGGAGCGGTGGCGCTGGAGCACAGGGGGCGGCTGCCGGCGCTGAGGATGCGGATGTGGTTCCTGGAGAGGGCGGAGGCGGCGGGGATGATGATGGAGGGGGGGACGCTGGTGGTGGTGAGGCCAGCGGCGGCGGGAGGGAGTGACGTGGACATGGTGGCGGCGTTCAGTGGGGACGAGGCGGTGGAGGAGGCTGCAAGGAAGCTCATGGGGTCTAAGAGGTGTTATACGCTAGAGATGAACTCGTTTTGAACTTTTTCTGTACCATATTGTCAATTAATTACTCGTTTTTTTCTTCTTAATTACTAAATTTTGTTAAAATCTTCATCCGTGTCCAAAGCAGCTCACGAAGACAGTGTATCAAGTACATAAAAATTGTGTAATCCCACACTAACGACCGTCGGACGACACGAAGATTTGTGTTCGAAAACGAGCATTTTTCTTATTTCTTATTGCATTATGAAAATCCAAATAAAAGTTACACCTTTTTTTTTCCCAACGAATAAATTTTCTATCCAATCTCAAGCAAGTACAAGCGATGAACACACACGACATAATCCAAGCAACAACTTATCATAAAAATAAACCCATTTTCAAACAAACAGCAGCTAAGAACTTCCACTCTACCCTATCATAGTGTTGGCCATGTTTACCTTAATAGCCATCGAACTCTTTACCATTTCTATTAGTGTTTAGAAAGTGGATACACTCGTTGGCAATTATCACATTGTCTAAAATTTGTTTGTCTGGAACAAAGGCAGACTGGGTAGAAAAAATACAAGAATGCAAAACAAGTTCGATTCCGTTTGCCAAAATATTAACAATGATCTTGTAAGTGACTGTGCAATGACTTATTGGTCTAAAATCTGCCATTTTTGAAGCGTTTTTAGATTTAACGAAAAGGGTAATAATAGTACATGAGCCTTATTAGGACCTAGGGATGTCAATGGGGAATTCCCCATCGAGTTCTGCCACCCCCATACCCGGCCCCGAGTTGGGGAAATCTCCCCCATGGGGATCCCCGAAACTACTCATGGGGATGATTTTTTCCCCATACCCGACTTCGATAGGGAATCGGGTCCCCGTCGGGGCCCCATACCCGCGAAATTAAGTTCACATACTAGCTTATAATGGAGTCTAACAGGCATAAAAATTAGGCAAATCAAATGACCCAAACACTAATTAAATGGTTCATCATGCATGGAGCCGACCAATCATCCAGAATTACAATCCAACAGAGTCAACTGTCAAGTAGCCACTAGCTAACACAGGCATAGCAAGACAAATATGCAAAAGCATGCCACCATTACAAGTTCATGGCCTCATAGGCCGATGGCAGACAATGACACACGCTAAATTAAGACAGTACTTAGAATAAATAAAAAGTGCAGTCCAGCACTCCAGCAACCGGCCAACCAGTAGTCCACCACTCCAGTCTCCAGTCCAGCTCCAGCACGGCAGCAACATCATGCAACTTGTCTCAGAATAGTGCGAGCCCCTATATGGAGGAACAACCAAGCATATGCAAATTAGTCATGTATTTGAAAAAAGGGAAATTGAATAAGTACAGGAAACAAAAGCTTGTAGTGTTGTCTTAGATAAATATACCTCCATCCCATCTTGGATCTCTTGAACACAACTCCAAAAGCTTGCATCATTGTCTTCATTATCATCTACAAAACATGTGGACAAGAATTATTTTGTAGCTATGGCAGTGGAAAGATTGAATGAGTACAGGTGATACAACATATATTTATACCTTGATACTTATTTCGTAGCCAATTTTGGGAACACATCAATGCCTCCAAAATATCTAGAGTAAGCCTGCTACGGTGATCACTAAGAACCCTTCCACTAGTGCTAAAAGCAGATTCTGATGCAACTGTGCTAACAGGAACAACAAATAAGTCACGTGCAATCTTTCTCAGTGTAGGATAGCGTGTCCCACCAATCACCTTCCACCAATCAAGAATCTGAAAGTTTTTTGTTGCTATTGAGACCAGCTCATCCTCCAAGTATCTGTCCAGCTCTGATTTTAACTTTGCCATTGTTGGCCTTCTAGTGGCAACACATGCACTGATGCTAGACAATACATCAGAACTAGCAAGTGGAGGAGCAGATGACTCTGTGTTATCTCCATCCTCTTCCAATTCGTATCCCTTCATCAAATCACAAAGAGAATCTATAATTTCTCGAACCTGCTCTGCACACACTTCAGAATCCTCCCCAGATATTGACTCAATGAACCCAAGAAGGTAATCGGTCTTAAACCGAGGATCAAGAATAGTTGTTATTCCCATTATTCCTTGAATCTCTGTCCAATACTTATCAAACTTCTCAATCATGTTAGCTGACATTTGCTCTATTATGGGGTTACCACATACAGACCACTGCCTCATTTGAACTTGGCTTCACAAATTTTAAGGAGTTGAACATTTGCAGTCACATAATTAGTTCCAGAAAATACTGCAGTAATATCATTGAACATCTTAAGCCTCTGAACCACCTCTCTAGCAAAAGCCCAATCATCCATACTTGGAGCACAATCATAAAGCTTTTCAACACGACTTGCACGGTTGAAAACAGCCACATAATTTAATGCAACACTAAGCATCTTATATGTAGAGTTCCATCTAGTTTTGCAATCAAGGCCTAACTTGTTCTCAATAGGGACTTTGACATATGTAGCTATTTCTGCAAATTTTTCAACCCTTTTAGGTGTGGCTGTCCAAAAGGCAACTATCACGGATTTTTGAGATTGCAGGTTGTATCACCTCTAACCCATCCTTAACAATCAAATTGAGAATATGTGCAGCACACCGCATATGCAACAGTTTCCCTTAAGTTTTTCTTTACCGATCTTCTTGATAAGGTCAGTAATTACCTTATCATTTGTAGTGCAATTATCAAGCTTGATAGTTGAGACCTTCTCATCTAGATTCCATTCAACCAAAGCGTCGTACAACTCATCACAAATGATTTCAGCTGTATGTGGAGCTGGCACATATATAAACCTACATGTATGAACAAATGCATGTTACAAATTGACAAATAATTGACACAAATAATCTGAATAAATGTAGAGACTTGCAGCAAGTGGCTACCTCATGATAATGTTTCTAAGCATCCAGGAATCATCAATGAAATGGGTTGTCACAGCCATGTAACCTCTTTTCTGGTTATCAGAGGTCCACATGTCTGTAGTAATAGCCACTTTTGACTTAGTTGCAGCCATGTACTCTTGTGCCTTTTTCCTTTCTTCTAAATATGCATCCATAATATCCTTCCTGAAATAATGTTCCAAAGATAACCATGATTAATGAAAAATTGAATTTATTTTCAAATAATGCACTGAATAGGGTGCACTGTTACCTTATAGTGTTCCGGGTCATCATCTTGAATAATGGTTGAAGTGCACTCACAAACCTTCTGAAGCCAACATGATCAACAATAGATAAAGGATACTCATGCAGTGTAATCATAGCAGCAAGCTCTTTCCTAGCAACTTCTGGGTCAAATGTATAATTCTCCACAGATACCTTGCCTCCCTCCTTGGAACTAAACCTCAAAGCAGATTGTGCTAGTGTCTTGTTCTTCCCTGCCAACTTGATCTTTCTCAATGTACAGATAGCTAGATGATCATGGAGTTGTTTTTTTCCACTTGAACTTTTCCCTGATAGCTTTTTGTGGCAATGATTGCACTGAGCCTTAACTTCACCCAACACTTTCAGTTTCTTGAACTCTTTCCAAATAGCAAAAGTAAGCTTCCTCTTTGTGCCAAAATCTGTATCCTCCTCAATCACATCATCATCTTCAATTTGTATCGGCTCTGAGTCATTAACAGATTCATGTTGTGCTTGTGATTGGTTGCTACTGCCACTCCCTGGAGATGATGTAAATCTGAAAAATATAAAAGTTTCAAGAATCAAGATACAGACTTGGGCATGGTAAATATGAGAAATAAATAAATATCCAAGTACCATAGGCCATAGAGCTTATAACCAGATAGAAAATGCTAATGCTAATGATGAACATTTACAATGAAGCGTGTCTCATACAGACATACAATCATAAAGGTTCTTCGAATCATGACAATATTCTGCTACGTCAGACTACAAAGTGATACTATACAGTTTCATTCATGGGAGTTGATATGTAAATTCTGTGCTAAAAAAAAGTGCCAATTTTTTGTTTGGTCGGCAGCACATTACACATGTTGGGGTCTGTTGATACTCTCATTCAGAAATGCACTGAACACGCTGCTTCTACTTGCATTAAGCTATTGCAGAGCCTAACCCATTTTCAAGATTAAATATTAAGCGAACAACATGCTATTGGATCTAGACCAAACTGATTTAAACGACCTATGCTATTTTATTTGTTGCAGGAAAAAACAAACAAAGCATGTATAAAATGAGCAGCGTGCTACGAAATCGAACCCCAGGGATTTCATTAGTTGAAGGCCTGCTGTTGTAGCTTCTGTAGCTTCTGATGCTTCGGGAGTAGATGGCGCCCCTGCAACGGCAAACCGACTTCTCTTGTTGCCGGTCGAAGCTTTTGCAGGCGGTGGCTTCAGTACCTGGCGCCTAGCCTTTGCATTCGAACCAGCAGCACTACTACGCATCGCAACGGCGGCGGCGGCGGCACGCTGTGCAACACGCGACATGATGCCAGATGCGGCAGCAAGCGATGGCTGCTCCGGCGGATCCGTGACAGCGTCCCTTCGTGGGGACGGGGGTTAGTGAATAAAAACACGCAGGCATGGTCGCATGGAAGAGTACAGATCGAGCAATGCCATGAAATCAAGCACAAATTGACGAACAAAAGGTTAGAGTTAGGGATTACAAAATGTTGAATATATCCTCACCTTCCTTCGTCACCATCAGTGCTAGTCATGGATGCCTGCTCATGGGACGAAGCCATGGCACGGGGACGGCCGGACGGGGCACGGCGAGCCGACGAGGAGAGTGAATCTGAGCGAGAGGGTCAAGGGAGGAGAGAAGAGATGTGCGCGTGTTGCGATGTTGGAGTGGGCTGAGAGTATATTTACACTAGGGTTTGACTTGGAGTGGGCTGAGATGTTGGGCTTATTTCCTATGGGCCTTTGCTGCGTAACCCCCACGGGTAATCGGGTTCGAGGGGAGGCTCCCCATACCCGCCTCCGCCAAACCCGATGGGGAGGGTTTTTCCCCTATTTAACCCCCCATGGGGACAAAATCCCCCCATACCCCCCTCCTAATGGAAGAATTCCGCACGGGTAATCGGGTATCGGGTCCCCATTGACATCCCTATTAGGACTCATCTCCATCAGAGCTACTCTCACTTTGTACATTTTTTTTTTTTTTTTAAATTGTAAAGCCCAAAGGCCCTCTATTGAGAATTCCAAGTAGACTCAACTACATTCTGCAAGCCCTTTTCTTTAATCCATTTAGAGTCAAAAGCAAACCTCCTTCTTCCTTTTCCAATTTTAGGATTTTGTCCAACATGATCAAGTTGTGGTTAGAAGATGTTAAATAAATGATTAACTAATATGATTTATCATATGATAAATTACATGGCAGTTCTAAAAAATGCTATTAATTTATCATTTTAATATTGATTATAATTGATTATCTAAATAATAATTACTAATATTTTTATACTTTTTTAATTATTTAAAAGAACATTAAATATGTATGTTTAGAATATTAAAAGCACATAAAATATTATATAACATATGTAAGATTATCTAAAATATTATATAACATATGTAAGATTATCTAAAATATTATATATTATTCTTAAAAAATGTGAGGTCGCCTAAAGCATTTTTAATTATTTTGAAAATAAAACATGTCTAAAAACACTTAAGTTCAAAACACACACACACACACACACATACACACACACACACACACACACACACACATATATATATATATATATATATAAATATATATATATATATAGACCTTAATTTATATGATGTGTAAAAATTATTACCAAATAACATGTTTAAAAATATATAAAATATTATATGTGAATAATATGTATTACAGTCTAAAAAATATTAGTAATTATAATGTAATACCAAATAATATGCATTAGACATGCAAAACATTAGACATTACATTTGTAAACGTGTCACAGTAAAAAAGAGATTTGTAACTTCTATCGTTCCGACCAAAAAAAAAA